TGATAGCAGTAACTCCACCCTCTCCTGCCTCAGCTTCAGCTTCCTGCCCATTTGCTTGCTTTCAACAGCTTGTTTCTCTCTTATCATATTCTCAGCAGGAGGAGGAAGACAAAGCTAGCGTGCTTGTCCCCATCCGCCTTGACCTCTCAGCAGTGGCTGCTTTTTCTGCCTTGGGTTTCAGCCATTTGGTTTCTTTATTTACAACTGCCCCCCTCCCCCATTAACTTGCTTTCATCTGCCTCTTCCTCTATTACTGAAGTCTTAGTGAATGCAAGACAAAAAAAAATCATCGTTTTAGGTAAATGCAAAAATTATAGTGAAGGGAAGGGTTTTGTGAATTGTTCCTTCATCCAGCATCACCCAAAAAGTTCAGAACTGTTTTAATATTAAGGGTAAGTCATAGAGGCCTTGACTCATTCTGTGGAACATACTAACTTTCCCCAGTTTCTCTATTCGGAAGATATATTTCTACAGAATATTCCTATTTTGCCAAACTAAATTTTATTACTTCCTGCCATGCTTTACCCTCTTCACATGAACTATAAGAATAATGTTGATGAACAGCATCAGCAATACTTGGTTCACCAAATCATGCTATCAGAAAACTTACTTTTCCATTCCTCAATATCAAGTTCTCTGCTTTCAAAGGACTGGTCATAAGGATCTGCCACTGGCTCATCATCTGGATCATGATACTGAGAAAAATAGCCATGGGCCAAAGCTTCAGCAGCAGTGATTCGTTTATCTGTGTCCAGCACCAGCATCTTCTCCAACAAGTCTACAGCTTCAGAAGCCAAGGGAGGAAAACAAAAAGAGGAATTAATGTGCAGTTCCTCTTAAAACCCTAACTCAATTTAAAGAAAATCAGTATTTCCCAATGCCAGTATATTGACATTCAGTTTGCATGTAAGAAAAATAATATGAGTTTAATATCTATAGGGCAACCCTCTAAGAAAAATAAATTTACTTGTAAGAAAAGCGTTGAAGATTTGAATTGAGCAGGAACCCTTGTTAAAGGTTGTGTTCCTGAGCAAAAGAAGAGTGGTAAAAATACTGCTGATTATAAGTAGCAGAGCACCCCACTTAAAAAGGAAAAAATGCTCATATTTATTTAAAAGATTTGTATGGCCACCTATCTTAGGCCACAACTCTGGGCTTAGTTGTCTTGGATGGGCTTAACCCAGCTATCAATGAAAGCTAAATGACATTCATTATATTTGAAATAAAAGTTAAGAAATACATGAAGATAGAAAAACTTCACTTTTATCTAAATTACCTATTCAGGAGCAGGAAGCATGGAGTTCCCTTTTGTCTCTTAAACACAGACACTCATTTAACAAAAGGCCAGGTGAGAGTCACAGAAGGCCAGCATGAGAAAGCTGTTCCCCTTATTTATCACTCCCCTAGTGGACAAAGCAGCTCATAGATGCAAAGAGATGATGCAATCTCCAACAAAATATAAACATAGACACATAGACACATACAAAAAAACCCCAAAACGTCTCAATGATTCTGGGTGGCGTACAAAATTAAAACTAAAGATATAAAACAACATCAGACAACAGAAAAGGGAGATGGTTATCCCTGTGGAACAGACAATGATGTTCCACTGGGATGAAATGAAAGCCTGGGAAAAGAGCCAGGTCTTCAATGTTTGTGTAAAGGACAGTAGAGTTGGGGTCATTCAAATCTCTGGGAGGATGCTGTTTCAGAGCCCAGATGCTACAACAGGGAAGCATGCTTCCTGGTTGATATTGTTTAATGGATGAAACCTGGAGCATACTGACCCTGTCTGATCTTACAGGATGTGCAGAAACAAAGGAAGAGAGTTGGTTCCTCAAATAACTAGACCCTATGCTGTGTAGGGTTTTGTAGGTGATAACCAGCACCTTGAATTGAATCTGGGAGCCTAATGGTAACTAGTGCAGCTTATAAAGCAGAGGTGTTACATGGGCATTCCATAGCATGCCTTTAACTGTTTGTAATGCTACTTTCTGGACCAACTTAAGCTTCTGAGTGGTCTTCAAGGGGAGCCTCATGTAGAGTGCACTATGGTAGTCCACACATGGTAGTCCACACATGAGGTAATCACGGCTGTGAAAAAAAAAAGCTGGGGAAAAAAAAAGCTGGGAAAACGGTTTCCAGTTCCAAGAACGTGTGCAATTGCTGCACAAGATGTCTATGCAAATACCTTCCTGGCAACAGCTGCTACACGCTCTTTTGAGCAGGAGCTACTGGAAGAATTCAGGAAGACTCTCAAATTGCACCTATCTGGAAAACTGCAGCCTCATTAAGAAGTAGAGATGGAAAGTCCCCAGAACCAGAGAGTCTTTACACACGCAGCCACTTGGTCTTGCTAGGGCTGAACTTAAGTCAGTTCCTCCACAGCTAGAGCCCCAACTCCAGGACCTGGGACAAAATGTTGACAGCACCACGGCGATAGCTATGATATTCATGAACTCTTGGGCTGCTCCAGACTCTACATCAGATGTAGGTAGGATGAAGTCTCCAAAGACTGTAAGTCTTTTAGACTCCACTGCTAAACTGATGACAAAGTTAAGCAGCTTAGGCAGGGATGTCACTGTGCAGCAGGGAAGCTGGTACAGTAGCAACAAATCAACTGCTCCCTAGAGCCCAACTTCAGGCACAGGATCTTACATCTGGTTATCTATGATTCAGAACCTCTAAAAGCCATTAGAACTTCACAGAAGAGAACTGCACCCCCCCCCCGGGTCATGGGTGTGCCAAACTCAAAACCTAGGTGGGCTTATCTCAGACAGACAGACACTGCCCTCTGGGCCCACCCAGGAATTGATTATATATGTCAGATTGGCTGCCCCAGCCATAATAAAATTACCGACATGGCATTTATATATAAGAAAAATAAATATATTTGAGAAATTGTAGCTTCTGCTTAGGACTTTCAGTCAGTATACTAGTCTCATTCTCCACATTTCCTCCAAATTATTTAGTGTCTACAGTTGGAACTGTCTCTATCTATGGACTCTCTCTACCCACAGAAGACCCTGATACTCCTGAGTCCTCATTTGAACGGAGAGCTGTGTTTTGCTGAATAAACAATTTGTTGCACTTGCTGGCAAAACCTCCACTTGAAACTTATAGGTTTCAAGGTTTGTAGCAAGGTGCAGAATCTGTTCTAAATTATTAAAATAGCTCAATGATACTGGAAAGCTAGTTCAAAAATAAATGGAACAAAATGCACTAATACAACTTGAATTTCAAAGTTCTATTCAGAAAGGAACTCTATCCAGAAATTCTCTGATATCATCTGAAAGACACGCATTCAGCAAATTACATTAAAGTTTTGAGTATCGGTGAGAAATGAGCTTGGACTGTTAAGAGCAAAACAAACCAAAAATTCTTGGTTCATACTTGATGCTAAAGGAACCAGAGAATGAGCACCTGGGTTGTTTAACCTTGTCTCCTGGCAGAAGAAATTAACCGGGAGAGATTCAGTGTTATGAATAATCCAGAATGAAACCAAAGTCATCTTCATTTTGTATATGAAAAGCTGCTTTAAGACCTCTATCTGCCATGCCAAAATGGTGTTCACAGACTTGTATTTTATATTCCTCCACCATGGTGAAACTACTGTAAGTCTTACCTAGAGGATTGGCACCAATAAATACATTTTCAAAATTCATCTTCGGCATGTAAGACAAGGACTGTATGTAATTTCTTGCCTGGAGGAAAATAAAACATGTTATTAAACTATGCTTCTTAATGCCTGCAAACATCTGTGTAGGCCTGCTTTTTTTAACATTGACATCATCTGATTTGCTTTTAGTTTCATAATTACTATCTATCTTTATTTTCTCATTTATATACTCAGTATGAGAGTGATGCTACAAACATAAGCTAGAATTTGGGACTTATGTACCGCACAAGCAATACCTGTGATATGCTAGAGGATAGCAGTGGCACCTGAATGACCTTATGTGGTTGAACATTAACCAGATGCAACATTCTAAAGCAGAGTCACATCTGTGTGGGATAAGCGTACCAATTAAATGAGAGGTGTGCAATTGTACTAGGAAGAATAGACAAAACTGTGTGACTTCCATCAGTTTAGGTTTGCTTCTGGTTACATCTTCACTGAACTACTGCAACATGCCTATATGTAAAACTGCTTGTGAAGACAGTTTGAAAATTTCAGTTGGTATAAAGTATGGCTGCTGAATGCTCCTGGGAGACGGGTGTTCACAGCACATTTCTCTAATATTTTACCATTTGTACAGATTTGTATTGGTTTCCAAGTTCTAAAACCTTAGTGGAATGGGACAAGATTTTACGTGAAGCACTATCTGCACTAAAATGAGCTTCCTTATAACTGGTCTTAATGACTATCATGCTAGTGGGTATCAAAAACATCTTTTCCATTGTGGTCCCACACCTAATGAATTGTTTCATTTAACAAATATGCAGGGTTCCCTATGTACTATCCTTTAAATGCATTCTAAATATAATTTTGCCTCAATTCTACCTACTATTGGAACATGGAATGCTGGAACTACATGGAGAGAGATGGAGGAACCAGATCCTCGGGTAAATAAGTACTTTGAGATTGGAAGTAGCCTGTTATAATAAATTACAGTAAATGGCTTTATGATGCTTTAATTTTGTGTGCCCTTGAAAAGTTAAAAATACTAACATGGATAAAATAATTGAATGTTTTGAATTGCAGACCAATAGGCACATTCTGTTCAGATCTCACCTCATGGCTGGGCATCCTGTTAATGAGATACGCAGGGGGTGTCCCCGTCAGACGCATGATTTGCTGAAGCTGGTTAATATCTTAAGATGCCTTGTCAAGGGCTTTGTTACTATTTCAACAAGTGTCAGTGTTCAAATTAGCTTTCACTCTTTTGCTACATAATATCATGCCTTGAGGGTACAGCATCTAAGAACCTCTCCTAGAGACATAAGCTCTCAAAAGCAAACATGCAATACCAGAAAGCACAAAAGTATTAGTTGATCAGTGAATAAAAGAAACCTGATTTAGCATCAACTAAAGCAAGTGTGCAAAAGTGGCTAGCCAAAAAAAAAAAAAAGTACACAGTAGCCTATTTAATTCCATGTACCACATGTCATTCTATATCATTTAACTTGCCTGTACAGGGAAGGAAGAAAAGAGATTTTAACTAATACATGATATTGTAAATATGGAACTAAAGTATATCAGATTTTTCTGCTTCAGAATGGTACCACAATCTATTGTTCCTGTGAAATATCTATTACCACTTTCCCTGGGAAAGTCTATTATTCTCATCTCTTTGTTTAAGAAACATCCTTATTTTAGACTGACAATAAACATTTTGCCTGTAGGCAGCAGCTCAATTCTAACATTTATATCTTTATCTGCAAGGAGAAGTCAGATCAGTATGTGTTTTTTAAAATTACTCACCATTGTTGAATTGTTATCAAACTACAAGTCACATGGGAAGAGATGGGCAAATTGTTTTCTCCCAGATAAGACATGCATAGACAAGAGGCTGTTATACGCTGACATTAATGGAAAGGGAATTGAAGCACACTTTGGAAAGTGTAGGGACTCTACATTCTCCTTCTTTGGACAACTAGTATAACCGAATAACTCTGGGAAAATTTTCATCCAAAGAATAAGGCATTAGCCTTGGTATTATTAACTTTCATAGTAACAAATAATGCAAGCCAAGGCAACTTGTAATTAACAAACAATTAAGAGTTCATATTGGTAGCCATATCAAAAGTGAGTGTGAAAGAGGAAAAACTACCTTTCGTCCTAGCCAGGGCTGGAAATACCCCATGATATTCTTTTGAGATCCTAAAACTGACAAGAGCAGTATGACTCACCCATTCTCAAGGATCAGGTGAGATACAGAAAAAGCTGGTCTTCCCTCTCTCTGAAATACACATTCCAGGTTAGAGGGTCAGAATTTTAAATTGATCTAAACTGTGAACACCTTGATCTTCAGTGCTGTTTTTTATTGATCTCCAGGAAATCATCTCCTAGACATTTAATAAAACTTATAATTTGCGTTCATTAATGTTACCTTTATCTGACTCACATTGCACATTACAGTTATTCAAACCAATGACTGGGCTAACCAAAATCTTTATCGGCAATCATCTCAATTATTTGTTTGAAAGATGTTTCAGATAACAGCCTGCTGTTTATCAGTGTGCTGTGCCCTTTAACAACATTTTGCACTATTCAGCATGCTGTTTCCTAAGATCTTGAGTTGGCAACTAGCAGAGCAAGGCTCAGCATGCATAAAGGAATTGATACTACATTTGCAATCAATGAAGCTGTAAGGGGGAAAAAAAACCCTGTTACCTGAAAAGCAGACCCTGATTTCCAAGCTGTCAAGCACAAAGGCAAGTAGTTTTGATTATACAACATACAGGGAAAATTAGTTTTCATGCTTTTACCAGACTGGAACACATGTTTCTCAGAGGACAGCTATTTTCCCTCTTCCCAATAAGCAGGTTCTTCTAAATCTCTCCAGGATAGCATATTTCTGATTACATAGTCTTCTTGAAACAAAGTTACTGAAACTGTCATGTTTTACCTGCTTGTATAGTAAATCCCTGAGCATTATTCTCTTTAACATCTATTTCCTTTACATTCAATCAGAATTTCAAAGAAAAAAAATCAGAGTTTCTTTATACACCCACACCGTATATATAAATTCCTATTTCATCAAATCTTCCAGGATCTCATAAATGAAGCATTTCTCAACCTTCATCAGCCTAATTTCAGAAAAACACTTTGGGTCAAATGAGACATGCATTTTTTCCCCTAAATATGTACTTATTCCTTCTGTAGTTTTGTTTTTTTTTAATTCATTGATAATGAAATCATTATATTAAAAATCTACACATTACAGAAAGGCAAAATACGTTAGCTACTATACTATAAATGTACTTTAATTCTGCTTACAAAAAAGACTAAAATTATTAGACAGCAATTTTATGACTCCATGCTTTTAACTCTGTATGGATTATATGATCTGAAACACCTTCAGACCAGGTAACATTCAGACTTCTCTGCAAAGGTCATGCCAGCAAGGAATTCTTCTGCAAATGCATGGAGAACGCCCAGGTTTGGGGTGAGAAGGTTGATCTGAAGCAACTAACAACTGCAACTGGCATACAACATTTCATGGATTGTTAAGTCTGTGACAATACAAATACAAGTTCCAAAGACCAAACTTGAATCCCATTTCAGAGTTTGCTTGTGCAATATTGCATGTAGTTTCTGGGATACTCTTTAACAGCATGCATGAAAATGGCTATACTAATAGCATATAACAAAATATATTTAATGTTTAGCCAAGTCTAGTATAGCCTACAGAGAAATAATGAATTGAACAATAAAAGGAATTAGTTAATTGGAAAACAATACAGAGGAAAAACAGTGAAACTTCAAGATGTGCCTATAGAAATGAAGAAAGAAGAAAAACAGCTAAGCATGAAAAACATAGACAGTCTTCATGACAGCAAAGCAAATAAAAGAAAATAAATCCACATAAGGGAGGAATTACAATCAAATTTTAAACTCACAGACTCTGAAGAGATTTTCTTCAAAAGCTCAGGGCCTGGGGTTCCAACGAGTCTCAAAATGAGCTTCAACTGATCAATATCTAACAATGGACCATAAAGGAAAATTCTGGGACAAATAAAATGAAAAAGCAGCAGCCCAATAAAATAAAAGGGGAAAAGTTCAACCAAATAATTATAAGCAGAATCAGCACACCGCTTATGTATAAAGCACATATCCCAGATACAGCTACTCCACCCCCTGCTAATACTATATTCAAATATATCTAAGTAATATGGAACACTGGAAGTAGTTAACTCCTGGAGATAGCCACTCATCAGAGCAATGCAATTCATAAAATCAAATTCTCAAGATTGTGCCTTTTCTTCCACAAGCTGCTATTCTCCTGTTCATGCAATAACTCCTAGTTTTGAACACAGTAGCAGCACTATACAATGCAGGTCTTTTTCAGAATTTTGAAAATCATGTCTTATAGATAATATAAAAAGATACAGCTTATAATCAGGTTTTTATCTAAAGGATTAAAAAATGACAAAAGTATAGTTGGAGTTCTAAGATCAACCAGTCACTAACTCAATTCTATAAAGTATTTTTTTATTATCCATCAAAGGATTTCCAAGTTAATTTCGTTTTCCCCCCACCTCATTCAAACCATTCCCTAACGTTGGCAAACATGCACTTTTGCAATACAATGATATCTGATCTGGATAATTAGGACTGTGCAGTGGTTTTAAGTTAGATGTACATAGCTCAAAGTCATTAGCAAGATGAAGATTTAGTACCAGATACATAACGGCAAAAGACTGGCATGCACAGGTGCTACTCACTGTAATAATTTCCATTACTTAGCCTTTAAGGCCTAAGTTTGTTTATTTATTTTATTTATTTATTAAATTTGCATGCCGCCCATCTCCCCCAACGAAATTAAATTAAGTAGCATTTTTGAGACCAGTTTTAATACAGAACAAGATTTCTTGCTTATAGCCCACCAATTCAATGCTCTCCCTCAGAAGGCAAGCATGACTCTTGACAGTTCACCCCTAAACCAGTGGATCATTTGTATTACAAACATATTATCCAAAGTCAATAGGATAAATGTAAAGACAATATATAATTATTTGAAACAGGAATCATTTCAGCTTCTTGAATTTGAAACCACCTATCTAATGAAAGTTGAGATATACATTATTTAAATAAAATTATTCTGACCATACAGATACAAATCTTTCATTCCTATCAGTAAAATGCTGTAATACCAAACAAACAAAACAAATTGTTTTAAATATCTTGCTCTCTCTAGGATAAATGCTAAAATATTTTTTCTGGTTTACATTATTTGAAAAATGAATTACATTACATATTACATGTTCTCAAAACTCTATTTTATGTATTCATGTTATTTTTCTCCATTACCTATATACAGTACACTATTTTATAAGAGAATTGAGGATATGTAAGTCAGCAACTGATGAACATTTTTGTATAAGCAGTAAAAAATAATATTGAAATAGTATTATTTGAAAACTATCAAAAGATCATTTGTGATCAGCTACAAAAGAAAATGCTTATATAGAATTACAACCTTGACATGCTAAGAAAGCTTAATAACATCTGGAAATGATGCCACTGGGACATAAGTTCCTGATAGGCTCACCTTTGCAGTCAGATTAAAAGGGAAACTAAGAGCAATCCACAAATGGAATGAGGGCAACTTGGATTCTGAAGGTGTGGAAGAAGCTAACCATTTAGGAGAAGACAATGACAAGGCACTTCTGTACTGTTGTCATAAAAACGATATGGATGAAATGTTTAGACAAACCAGGGTGCCAAATAATTGGTGAGCCACCCCACCACTCCACTTCTAAGTTACTAAGGAAGAATGTCAAACTTTCATAAGTAGATCTGGAGATGATGACACAGTCAGATCAAAGCTGAAAGAAAGTTCAATCACTGATGGTACCAGAACTAAAAGAGAAGTTTCTTATTTTACAAGGGCACATAGTACTGGAACATGAGAAGCATGAACCAGGCAAAAATGAATCTGTCAAAGTAAATATGAAGTGCAAGCAAAGGGTTACTTAATTTTCTATATGGAAGAATACAGCTATACATGGAGAAAAATGTCAAATGAATAAGCAGATTTCAGAAAAGGCAGAGAGACAAAAGATCGGATAGTTATCATAAGATGGCTAATGGAAATGCTGAGAGAATATAAGACAGATATTTACCTTTCTTTATTTGATAATAGTAAAGCCATTAATTATGCAGATTATGCCAGAATGTGGAATATAATATAGCTAACCAGTGTTTCAACATACCTGATTATTCTTCTTTGGAGCAGCTATAATGAACAAGAAGGTATTGTTAAGAATCAAGTTAGAAGTAACAGATTGTTTGGATAGGAAATGGAGTGAGACAAAGGGTGCATATTGTCCTCACAGCTGTTTAATTTTTACAGTAAATGTTTCATAAAATGGAAGACATGATAGGTAGAATCAAATCTGAATTTTAAAGCATGAACAATTTGAGAGATGCAGACAGTACCGCTTTGTTATTGAAAGTAAAGAATACTCAGAAGAGATCATTGTGGAATTAAAAATGGAAAACAAAAATCTGGGTTAAATATGACAACAAAAGTTACATCAATCAGCATACTTAGCAAACTAACAAATTATGGCAAAGAAACAAAGGTGGCAGACATTTTTATTTTCTTAGGCTCAAGAACACACAAAGAAGGATAGCATGCTGAAGAAGAAAAGAGGGGATTAATCCTAGAGAGGAAGACAATGAGAATCTTAGACAAGGTCATGATTGATAAGGGAAAACTTATCTTGAGACAATGATGAACAAGCATAAACTCACCATGAATGGATAATGGACTAGAAAAGTTACTAGCCTTGGCAGGGTTGAGAAAAGTAGAAGAGGAAGACAAAGGATAAGGTAGATGATGGGATCTAGGTGGTCACTGAAATGTCACTAAAAGCGTTACCAATTATGGTCAGGCTGGGATGGATGGCATTTGTCCACATAATCACCAGGGATTGGGCCCAACTCAATGGCACCTAAGTAAGTAACTAACAAAAGTAAAACTAAAACAAGAAGAATCTATTCAAAATCAAGTTTATTGAAAGAACAACATGCAAATAGCAGTAAGAATCACCTTTAAGGACTGACAAGTCCCACAACTCACACTGAAAAAACCTCAAGCTTGCCAAAATCATCAGCAATGAATTCTACAAAACCCAAACAGTTTATTCAGATAAAGCTAACTGTAGAACTATAATCAAAGTGAGCAATCAAAGAAAATATACCAAGACAACATAATCTTTTGAACATATCAGCTTTTGAAAAGTCTTCATAGCTTAGAATATTTTCATAACATAAATTCTGCACCACTGTCTAATTAAAAAGGCAATTTCCTTGAAATATTTTTATGCTAAGAGAAGAATTTAAATTCAGGCCTAGTTCATACATGACACTGAGCCATGTTGCGGTTTGCTTGGTTTGGGCTTAATGCGTCACATTTGAAACCAGCCACAGTAATTTGTAAATCACAGTTTATGGCCACTATACTACGCTCAACAAATCACATGTTAGAATAATTTAGTATAGTGTGAAAATACAGCTTAAGAGTTCATCCTCAAATAAATTAATCACAGACTTCCCAGAACACACACCAGCTGACAACTTCAAAACCAAAGAATTACATAGAGTTGGGTCAGGGTAGAAGAAGGAACATATAAACTTTATCATCAGTTATAATGTTAGATTTTACTCAGTACTATCAACACAAACTTTGGCTGAACATATTAATATGTTTAAATTTAAGTACCCAACCTTCTTTTACATTTTTGAAATATGCAATTCAGGTTTGTATAGCAAGTATTAACCAATTACATCTATACAACTTAACCATTATGTATGTGTGTGTAATTTTTTATTAAGAATTTTGATTATAATAGTAAAAACCAATACAAGCTAAAGTTAAAGAGACTAGAGAGAACTTAACCATTCTTTGATGATCACAAAATATTTAAAACAGCAATGTCCACTAAATAGACTTCAAAAAGCCAAAGAGGATCAACTATATCTGCAAATCAGACTTTAAATGCTAGGCAATAAAAGTTTCTTGCAAATTATTGATTCTGAGCTCATTTACTTGCAGTGTATGCCCATAGCATTCTTACAGTGCAAGTGTGTGTCATATTCATCTTTAACTTTAAAACGTCCATATGATTCCCTGAAAAGCAGGGAATTGGTATCATTCTCTGCTCACCCGTGCTAAAGCTTATTAAAGAAAGGCTCTTTGTGTGTGTGTGTGTGTGTGTGTGCATACAAACACACACACACACACACACAGAGAGAAATGAAATATTAATGGATTAAGTACTGAGATGTTTTGAATGTAAATGTATTATTTTTATTTTAAATGCTTTCTACTGTTTTTGTACTTTAAGGGCATTAACACAGAAGAATTGTAAGAGAGACTGATTTTAAAAATCTGTTTGTTTTATCCCTAAACTAATGGCATATAATTAATATTTGAGAAACAATTTTATCTCACTAGAAAGCAAAATGTGTATTTTACTGCTTGGAGAATAGTCAAAAAACAATATTCAGTGTAAGAATTACATTGTTATTCCCATAAATATGTATTTGTCTTAATATAATGTCACTGGATATTCTTAATGATGCAATTTCTATGTCAATAATGCATTTTATCTTCTAGAGTTAAGACTGAACCACTGTTAAATACCAGGCAGTAATAATCCATTTCAAGTACACACAAAAACACTTTCATTAAAACAGAATGAAATAATTTTCCTAAACTGAGATTGACAAAATAGCCCTGCGATAATTTGCACAACATGGAATTCAATATCATAGCTTCATATTAATTAACAAACCCTTCCTAGTTCAACCTGTTGTGTTTTATTTTACTCTTAGATGCTTTTAAAGGATACGGTCTGTACCAGGGAACAGTGTTCTTCCAGTCAAAAGTTCAGCCATAATGCATCCAACTGACCAAATATCAACTGAGGATAAAATAAATCAAGTTAAAAGAAAATTAATAGTTATAAAGTTCTACTGCAATATTCTGTTGGTAAAAAATGAGGTATCTACATAAACTGCATGTAGTTCTTAAGAATTAATGAAAGAAAAGTAAAAAAAACGGATTATGTTGTATACTTGTAAAACTAAGACAAAGAGGAAGGATTAATTAAGGTGATCTGATCTTATAATATTGATATATATACAAACAAAAATAAGAATACACAGACCATTGAAAACTACTAGTTCTGCTCAATATAACATTATAACCAGTAAATGGTGATAATCAAAGAATCAGGGATGAGTTCTGGAAACCTGGAGCATTCTGAAAGAAACAAAACTAGCTGTGTACAACAGCATGATTCTGCATACTTCATAGTATGGAATGAGAGGGATATGTCATGAGAAACAATTTTTAGTTTTATTTAATGCAGTGGGAATAAGAAGTGTGTGTGGTAAAACAAGAAGAGACAAGTCAAGAATGAATAGGTGATGATAAACCATGGATTGAATATAAATCTAAGTAACCAGTACAAAACAAGTTTACTGAGGTGGTAATATAGTAAGAATAAATGTGGCTCAAATCACAAAATAAGTATTTGAAGAAAGAGTGAATAGGTTGAAATGGGAAATCTGAGAAAGTGATGCTGGAAAAAGGCTGATGAAATCCTTAAAGAGGAACTCAATAAGTTTACAGAATAAAAGACTGTATGAACTGCTATATGAGAAAGGTATAGTAAGTACTGCAGGTGTAACCTACATTTTGTTAGTCTTCCTTTTCTTTTCTTCTATATCCTTTTAATTTCTTTTCGTTACTACTTCTTACTGTTTTCCTGTGCTTTGCATAATATCTGTTTACCTTAAAATAGAGTAGCGTGGTGGTAATATATGGTGTGAAACAACTGCAATAGGTACAGAAAGTCCCCTAGATGCAAACTTTCAAGTTGCAAACTTCCGCCGATACGAACAAGATGGACCTGGATTGGAACCAGAAGTGGGCCAGAAGTCGGGAAAAGCGCACCACAAACTAACCCTTTCCTGCCATCTGACTTCCGGTATCAACTCCAGTCCTAACTTCTCACATGGTCAGTTGTGTTTGGTGTATGGCAACTGCAAGTGCCTATGCCATCGCTGCAAGCGCCTACATCAACATAGCCACTTATGTAAGGTGTGAACTGCGCATGTTTTTTTCGCTTGTTGGACTTACGAACAAAACAGACTTACGAACAGCATCTTGGAACGTAACCTGTTCATAAGTAGGGGACTGTCTGTATCTAATGCTAAAATGATTAACTAGCATGGGAACAAAAAAAATCCCACAAATGTACTGTAATATCAAGAACTGACAGGTTCAGAGCAGAACTATTTTGACTAATTCCAAAAACTACCAAATTATGCTGGAAGAATTATATATTGTTTATTAGATTGGGTCTGGACAATTCTATTATGGAGCACAATCAGTGCTATTTGATCATTAGTAACAGTCTAGGCTAATGAGACATCATACCTGTTTGATTGTAATGCATCCAGTTCAGCATAATCTCAGGAGCTCTGTACCACCTGGTTGCTACATATCCTGTCATTTCATCATCTGTATGTCGCGCCAACCCAAAATCCAAAATCTGAAAAACAAGAAAAACAGACCTATATTGGCACATTAAAAGAAAAATGTGAGCAAGAGAAGAAAAAAGGAGGGAGAGAAGAAGCACACTTTTGTTCTAATTAGCTACACTAGGGAGAAGTCTGAGACTAAGCAGAAAGATAAAGTGTTGAACACTTACAGAAATGGAAATTTTAGAATACAACAGACATCCAGGATTTATAATATATCTGAGACAGTGTGTGTGGAAGAACAGTAATACTATATCACATTCACATGATTCAAAAATGATTAAGTTATACCCAAAAGAACATTACAGACATATATATTTGCGCCTACATTTCACTATCAAGGTCTTAACCTATAAGATTAGGAATGCTTACTTTCCACAAACAATGTGGCATACTAATTCCAAGTTACCTTCAACTCACAGTCTTCATTCACAGCTAGGTTACTAGGTTTTAAATCCTAAAATAAAAAAGAGAGAAAAGAGAAAAAGAGAATCAGCCCTGCAATACTAAAATAGCTATTCAAATTCCAAACTATTAAATACAATCACATTTTATTCTTAATAATTTCTACAGTCTGTACCAATTTTTGTATAAACAGTTACACAAAAAATGCATAAGATTATCCATAAAAATATGCCACTTTCATGTAGTATTACATTTATATAGTATAAAAAAATTACCAAAGACATAGTGCATTCTAACAAAGAAAATAGGTGAGAAAGGTGAGTGGAATGTACTGTACCAAAATTGGATTCTTCCTTTATATGGATATGTTTACTTGTTTTCATTTATAAGATTTCAATACTTTGTCTTCCAAAAGAACTACAATAATTGCATATTTAAATAATTCAATAATACTTACTCTGTGTATTATATCAGCAGAATGGATATACTAAAAAATAAAAGTTTGAATATTAGATTCAGGGCATTATTTTCAATTTACTTATGATAAAAAATTATGTTTTTCCTACTCCATTTAATATAGCATTCAGTGATGTTGTAATTGTACTTCTATAGCCTGCTCTTAGCTTATCTTTCTATAGGAAAACAAAAAGTAAGTTCAACTAGACATTTTAAAAAATTGCCTGCATGAAAAGCAATATGTCAACATTTTCATTCTTTAGATTTAATCCTTTCTTGTTGCATTGTGACTCAAAATGTGTATCTGCAAAGTGCCTGGTAATTTGAGCAATTAGGTAATCTCATCACAAATCACACCAAGGAATTTAAGGGAATGTCTAGCAGTTTGGGAGGGTATTTCAAACTGATTTGATATGCTAGCTAACCCTCTCTCTGTACATTTTGGAGAGTCAAATTCTCTTATCCTCATCCCAATCTTAATGTTCTTGGTACTGTTTGCATTTTGCAGTTATCATAACTAGTACTAAACCAGACTAGAAACTGGGAGACTGTGAGTTCTATTCCCCGCTTAGACACAAAGGTGATCTTGGGCCAGTCACTCTCTCAGCCCTGGAAGCAGGCAATGGCAAACCACTTCTGAAATCACACCAAGAAATCTGCAGGGACTTGTCCAAGCAGTCGCCAGGAGTCAACACGGACTCAAAGGCATCAAAAAAAAAAAAAAGGTTGCTGAGATGAGCAAATCAGTTATGGCTTATTTGGCTGCTTGCTTTTGTTTTCACTCCACTGTTTCTGTCAGTTTCCAGTGTCCATAAAAACAAATGGGAAAAGTCAGGATTTATACAGACATAAAAGACATGTTTAAAATATGCCTCAATTTGTAAACCAGTATCAAAACATGTTTTCAATTTGTACTTCATTGTAAAAAAAATGAAATCATGTTTTCCTCTGGGACTGCCTATTCTACTAAGCCAGAACCAAAACAACGAACTACATTTTGGCTTTGCACAATGTTCAACTAGGCCACACTTTCTCTGGGCCAAAATAGAATACTTCCCTACTCTGTGTTTCCTTCCTAGAGTTAGTCCAGTCAAACAGGAATCACATGATGGGCAAAAATGTCAACAATCTTTCCTGAAATCATCTTATGGGAGATTAGGAAAGAAACCATGCTCCTGAATTTGATAAAATGGTTGAGAAAATATACTACTGGCTGCATTATAAAAGCAGTCTGCCTCATTATCTCTTCACACCTCTTGGAGACCTTCCCTGTTTTCCTACAGAGAAGAATGAAACCTGCTCATGCCAATGACAAGAGAGGGGCACTCCTATGATGCTACCTGCAGCATGATCTCTTGTCCTGTAGGTAGCATTTCAGAGAGTTGAAGGGAATTTCTAGGTGAAGAGTTTTGTACCCCCTCCCTTCAAGTGTCAGAAACAGTCTCCTTTTACCTCGTATCTAATAAAAATGTAGTACATACAAGCAAATTAAAAAATGCCCATGCACTAAGAATATTAGTTCCTCTGAATAAGAGGGAAAGAAGTAGAGCCAAAGCTGAGCCAATTCAAGACACAGTTGTGCAAGGAGCAGGGCCAATTCAAAACAGTTGTGCAACAGCATTTTTGCTTCCACCCCAGATTTCAGGAAGGACAGAATCGTTTAAATTGATTCAAAAGGAAGTCAATCTAAATAATTCAGGAGAGCAAAGATGCAATACTGCATTTGCCTGAATACAACTTTCCTCTCTATAGATCTCTTTAAAGGAGTAAGTAATTGTATAGAGGAGTTACTATGATTATAAAACTGGTAATACCTTCAAACCCCGAAGAATTTGATAGATAAGAAACTGTACATGGTCATCTGTGAGTTTCTGACATTTCACAATATTGTTCAAATCCGCTCCCATGAGATGGGTTACAAGATATCTAGAAAAAAGAAGTCAAACCAAAGTATTATTTCTTTCTAAGACACCTGAATAAATATGAAAACGCCATCTGTGCAAAAGTATCCAGAAGGGTGCTTCATAGAACTCACTGACTTGAATGAACTATCTTTCTTTGAAGTATTAAAGCAGCCATGTCTTCCTTGGAAGACTGTCCCCAGCTGTTTGCATTTACATGCACAAGCAATACTTCCCCTGGAACCGCATGCAAAGCAAAGCAGCTGCATGTGCACACATAAGCACGGACAACCAGAAACAACCTTCAAAGCAGACATGGAAGCCTTCCAGAGAACATGGCTGCTTTGATATTTGAGGAGGGATGTCTTGTTTGTGTTAATGTGCTTTGCAAAGCACCCCTTTCTAATGCTTTGCACAATTCAACTGAGCATTCCTGAGATTAAAGAAACATGAGCAGAGCCACTTACAATAATTAATTATAAAAAGTATGTGTAGTATAATCCAAGATGTGTAATACAATGTTTTACACATCTACTAATCACCATCTCTACCAAATTCAGAAGAATTATTCTAAACTGTAAACTGTAAACATTAGTTGAACTTCAAATCCACTGAAATCAGTGGCAAAAGCTGAGTTATGTAAAACTAATTCTGTCAAAATCCAACTATTCAGAAAAGTCAATTTTATATCAATTTTTCACAGGGAAGAATGTTATTTTACAGAAACATAATTTCTGATGCATTGTGTAAGTACATAATGAATATCATAATCCACTTAGTCCAAAGATATGGGATTTATGCACATATAATGGTGTGTTTGCAATGTACCAATCTTTACTTATATGGATATTTCGGAGTACTGAAATTATGTATATAACTTTGTGTATTTTTATTATTTAGGATTTATTTTTAGATTCTAAAAATCTAAAAACACTATAATTTAAAATGAAAAGTAATGTTCTCATTGTACGTTACTCTCAAATATATAAATTCAAATATGCAGTTCATCCTTTAAACAGAGTACAGTAAAATATTCAAGATTAGAAATAATTTTTCATTTAGTAGACGGCTTAAGACTTCATTTTCCTATCAAACCAAAACAGGGTAATAAAAGCAACGGCTGTTTCATGTAGGCCCTGGCATGTAGGTTATATATGTGAGAAGACAAAGCAAACTGACCTCATAACCCCCCCCTTCCGTGTTCATAGAACTTTTAATATGAACCAGAGACTAGATCCCACTCATATAATCCATTTACTCTATTTATCTGCCAAGGAATTCACATGCATTCCTCCTTCCATACAACCTACCCACCCACGGCAGCCATAA